AAGCTCATGATCTGAGCCACAGTCAGCTCCTGGTCTTGTTTTTGCTGTCTGTATAGAGCTTCTCCATCTTTGGCTGCAAAGTATATAATCAATCTGGTTTCGGTAAACTTTTCTAATACAAATTAATTTAAGCCCAATGCATTTCTTGGCTGAATTAAAGGGCCAAGTCCAGTCATTTCCAAATCACTTAACCTATCAACCACCCTATTAACTAGCTTCCGTGTCTTGAAGAGGTGTATCTTTAGGTGTGCAAAGTATCCTTTTAGTTGCATTCTGTGACTCATTGCCATGATTGTTTCACATTGTTTTAAAACAAAAGAGTACCTGTCAACTGCTTCTGTATTTCAGTGTTCCCAGTCCTCCTTAGGAGATTCACACACTCTCGAATTCCATTCTGCCGGCGGGTTTCTAATTTGTTAGTTGGGTTTCTGAAGACTAAGTTTCGAAGAGCTCCAGCTGAAGCCTGCTGCACATTCTCATCTGTGCTGCGGAGAAGTTCAATCAGCTTGGCAATGCCACCAAGTCGGTAAACCTAAAAAAGAAGTAATTGAAATGTACATGGATCAAAACTGCTCATAAAACTCTGCTGTTCTTTCAATCAACACAAAACCTTAATGTGAAAAGTTAACAGCAAGCATGAAATAGCTTGGCTAAGGAGGCTATACTGCAGAAAGTATGCATATGTGACCCCTCTTAGCACATATACTAGGGAGGTGGAGGTAACAGCTGCTATTGTCCACTTCAGGTCTTCAGAACGCCATAGGAGTTTCTTGAGGCCCCAACGTTTTTCTTATTCTGAAGTAAAAGATAAAGAATGTTTCTGATTGATAAACAGCTGCCTAATACCAGGGGTCAGAAATGATATTGCCAAAAAATAAGTCATGGCTTGGTGTTACATGTCCCCATTATGTAAACTGAAGATAAATGTACCACTTATTGAAAATTGTTTCAGTAGTTTAATAAACTCAAGATTTATACATTTTAAGCAATGGCTGTAATATCAATCCATAGTTAAGTCTCAGTGTGAGAATGGTGTTATGAATTATCTGACCCAGACCTGTGACATTGACTTGAGAAGAATGGTCTTTAGTTCTGCCATTAATAAGAGTTGATGCCGAGCAGTGCTTATATTGAGGTGACTCAACTGGAATCAATGTATGCAGGAAGGGAATGTATTCATTCTATGAATAATGGCCATTGCTTGTATTTAATTAAAATACTTTGTGGTGTCTATTGTTTTTACTGATTAATAAAATGCTATCGAGTTTGGGAGAATGTATAGAACATTTCCATCTCCTGTCCCAGAATGTGGTCTCCAAGCATTGAGACTTCAGCTATGGGGAGTTTAGGAAATTGTAGGTCCAACTCTACAGCACACATCCCCAACCTTAATTCACCTTCCCTTTTGGAATATTTTATTGCTAAGGGCTTTAATTACTTCCAATTGAACAAATGGTTAGGATACCAACACATAAGCATCAACAGAAGTACTTTTCCACTTCCTTTAATCTGTGTCTTTTCCTGCTTTCTCTCCCTTTGGCTCAAAGTGGGATTCTTAAGGGATTCTGCCCAGGAAAGGAATTAGAGGTGACAATGCTGGGCTTGCATACTAACGGTAATTCCCATCCCCTTCCTGCCAACTAAAGTTATTAAAGGTTTAAACTACTGTATTTACCTGAAAGGAAGTCTAGTTTAATTAACATTTAAGACAAGAAGATTTCTTGAGGTTCAATGACAACAAAGTCAATGCAGAGGTTAATTTTTTTTCTGTCTAATTGCTGGTCCTACAGTGACAAATATTCCCTAATTCTCACTCCATGTAAAAGGGAAATCAAATGAATTATTTTAACTCATATGTTGTCTTTACTTCCTGTTTTATTTGGTCATATGCAGTGGTTCCTATGGGAAGAAGTGGAAAAAGCAACTCTCCTCTTCAATGACCTGAAGCCCAGGAGTCATGATGGGAAAGGAGCTTCTGCAAACTTGAAAATGGACCACACACAGAATAGCACCTTTGGTTTTACTGTTATTTCAAATGTATGTGGGGTGCTGCAGGGTTCAATGCTCTCCCCTCTCCTATTTAATATCTACATGAGGCTGCTGGGTGAGCTCATCCATCGCCATGGGGTGGGGTATCATCAATATGCTGATGATACCCAACTATACATTTCTGCCCCTGGTGAATTAAGTGATGCTGTGAACACCTTATCCCAGTGCCTGGAGGCTGTGAGGGTCTGCATGGGGAACAACAGACCAACAGACTTCAACTGAACCCTGGTAAGACTGAGTGGCTTTGGGTTTTGGGTCCTGCTGGTTCTGGGACTATACCATCTTTGGTGCTGGATGGGGTGGGACTGCCCCAGGCAGACCTGGTGTGCAATCTGGGGGTCCTCTTAGACTTGCAACTCCTGCTTGGGGAGCAAGTGGCAGTCATGGCTAGAAGGCCTTTGCACAGCTTCCTGTTGTGTGCCAATTGTGCCCCTTCCTGGATTGGGAGGCTCTGCTCATAGTCACTCATGCCCTAGTCACCTCCAGATTAGACAACTGTAATACACTGTATGTGGGGCTGTCCTTGAAGAGTATCCAGAAGCTTCAACTGGTGCAGAATATGGCAGTGCAGGCAGTTATGTGTGCTCCTAAAAGAGCACCTATTACACCTCTGCTTTGCAAGCTGTATTGGCTGCCAGTTTCCTGACGGGTCCAATTCAAGGTGCTGTTTTTGAACTTTAAAGCCCTTCATGGCATGGGACTGGGTTATCTGAGAGACCACCTCTCCCTGATTACATCAGCCCATCCCATTAGATTCAGCAGGGAAGGTATGCTATGGGCTCCATCGGCCAGGACTTGCATTTGATGGGTCCCAGGATATGGACCTTCTTTGCCATGGCTCCCTCCTTGTGGAACATTCTCTCTCCTGAAGTTAGGCTCTCTCCTTCCCTGGTATTGTTTAGGAAGTCCCTCAAGACCTGGTTATGTCATCAGGATTGGGGGTCTTGGGAACCAGAGACATTCTCAGATGGTTCCACTATGATTGATATTCTGCTCTCTCCATGGGTTTGTATATTTTAATTTTTTTGATAATATTTTTATTTTAATAATTACTTTCTATCTTTTATAATGATTCTTATTTATCTATTTGCTGTTTTATGTAATTGTACACCACCTAGAGTTGTTTTGTGTGAGATGAGCAGCTATGTAAATGTGACAAATAAATAAATAAATAAATAAATAAATAAATAAATAAATCACAGCTAGCCAGAAATGCATTATGTTAATTGTCAAACACAATCAGTGTCATGGAATAGACCCAGAATCTTAATGTTAAAATACTCTCAGACTTCACTGAGCTATTTATTGTGTGAGATGAGGTTAGAATAATTTAAGAATAGGTTTTTTTCCAACCTAGCTGCAGAGTTTGGAACATTCACACCATTTTAATGTCCAGCAGATAAGCACCATAACAGACAGAATGTACTAAAATTTATATTCTCCACAACAAATGTATTTCCTAAATAGTACCAGAATTACTAGCCATACTGGCAGTTCATCCTAGTAGGTCATGGAAAAGATATATATCCATAAAATCAGCAGGTTTAGACTATGTAATAAATACTGTGTACATTTATAACATAATATATACAATTACTAAACTGTTTGATGAACTTCGTTACTCATGTTCCAACCAGCAGTATTTACTTTTGTTTCCGAGAGCTTAATTATAATCTCATTTACCATCAATGAGGATTTTAGTACAGGATGTTGTTAACCTAACTGTTCTAAAGGAACATTTTAACAATAAAATTGGATACAGTTGGAGTATTTCAGTGGTGTCTTGTTTGCTACTTAGGAAGTAATGCATTGCTTGCTAAATATTCCAAATTCAAGTTTGTTTTCTTAGATACAGTTCTTAAATTCATAATGAATTAAAATATCCATATTTTAATAATCGTTAACTGAATATAATAAACCTTATGTGAATGTATTTGTCCATATTTAGATAAGAGTATTTAAATATATTCCAAGTCAGGAATGCTTCTAATAGCTGTAAGTTTAGGTTCTCAAATATAAATTATTTGTTGATAAACAGAATTCTACTGCGTATTAAGCAAGTGTGGCTGAAAATCCAAGTTTATTCATCCATGTAATATGTTTTACTACTATATTTACTGTTGAATGGACATGTTTTCTATTCCTAATCTGATCTTCCTGTTGAAGCTATAGGAAAAAAGTGTTCTGACATAATTTTGCATATCTAAGCTTCAACCATAAAGCTGAAATAACATAGGAATGTATTTACCTCTTGCTTGGCAGATTCATCTTGAAAACAGGTGTGCTGGAGGTAGAAAGCACCCATGGCCTGGTTCTTCTCATCTGAGGAACACAGGAGTTGAATGGCTTTCTGGATGGTCATTGCTCCATAATCCACTTCATCATGGCACATTCTGAATGAAAAAGAAGAAACATTCAAAATTGTCTTGGTCATCCTGTAGAATGGCCTATGTTAAAAAAAAAGATGAGTTGTGTGTTTCTATTGATTCTTTTGACTTCTCAGCAGCTTTGAGTGTAGTTATGCATGATCTGAATTGTTTCAAAGTGCTCAAGATCTAAATAGAGTTAAATAATCTAAAAAAAAAAACTTTTGGAGAGGCTTTTTGAGTTGGGGATACTGTTATGTGACAGTTCCATCCCTACTTGGAAAATAATGCCATCCAAAGAAGTGTTATGTTAAGTCTCCAAATTGCTGCTAAATATCATTATGATATTAAAAGTTAGTCTTTTAACACAGAGTTATTCTTACATTAAAGCTTTACTTCCCAGATTTCTTGCTTGATATGCCAGGCTTTGAATATTTCATTTATTTATTTATTTATTTATTTATTTATTTATTTATTTAATTTCTCCCCTGCCCATCTCCCCCCAATGGGGGACTCTGGGTGGCTCACACAAAACATTAAAACGGTAAGTACTTAAAACATAAAAATTAAAAAAATATATGCTGATCATGATCCTCTTTTGGTTCCTGCTCTTTACTGATATGGGATCATACCACCTGATCTGTGATCTAACTTCTGTTCTGTTCTGCTGTCTGGGAATGACACATAATCGTATCAAGATCATATGAAATCATCCTAAGTATAAAATATATGAAAGAATAAGGTAAAAAAATCACAAAGATTGCACCATCTATAACATTCTAATTATCTTTCTACAATCATCATCATCATCCCCTCCATGAATACTGCCTTGTCATGGGGGAGTGGCTTGTGATGGTCTGGTGAGGTTTAGAGCTATGCTGGTGGTAGTGTATTCTACCAGAACGATCACCCATGCCAGACAGGTCTCAGCAGAAAAGCCAGACTAAGTGTATCCATCGATCCATTAACTATGGTGAGAAAACAGAAAAAGAATCCTATACTGGAACGGTCGTCACCCGGGTCAACAAGGACCACATCAAATGTTAGAGTTCCTGGGCATTTGCCGACGAGTGGGCAACGGGACTCAGAAGCTATGGCTGAGCAACCAGGGCTTAGCCTTGTAGGATTACTGGAAGAACAGCAACCACAAACAAAAGACAAAAGGATATTGTGTTTGAAAATTGCACCATTATAGCCTGCTATTATAAATCAAAACCAATAAAGTGGGGCTACTTAAAGCAAAAGTTTGAACTGTGGAAAGGAATTTATCCAGACTCAAATATCACTGAACAACAATTAGCAGATCAAAGGAGATTCATTACCAGAAATAAAATATTCAGGGATGCAGAACTAGAAGTGATTCAGAAAAAAATGTGAAAATGGAAGACCCAAAAACAATAATAGAATAGTAGGAGAAACTCAGATAACAACAATTGGAAATATAGAGGAAACATCTGATATGAACTACAGAAATGATAACTTAGAAGAAGTAATAACAACAGAACCAGTATAGGCCAGCACCGGAACTACCTATGAACTGACACCCCCCCCCCGACAAAAAGAATTAAAAGAGAAAATTATGGGATATGCAGAATTACCAATAGAAAGACAAGACTGCCAGCACTGAAAGTAGTGCTGAAAAAGGACCTGGCACCTATAATGAAGGATGTAAATAAGGCGAGGATTAAAATAACATCTATCGAATAGACCAGTTAGCTTGCCTACAGTACAGCAGTGGTGGTTACAGAAGAACTGGGTATCAAAATTAGAAAACCAAAAGCAAAATCATATGCAATCCCAAAGTGGAAGATCAGACTGGAGGCCAAGATAAAGAAATTAATACCACATGCGACTAATTTAAAGAACATGAAAGAGCAAAAATTGAAGAATGTAAGGATCAAGACATCTAATCTTGATCTAATAAAAAATATTGGCTTAACACCAGAAAGATTGAAGAAGCTTTGGAAATCATAAAGCAACAAATAACAACAATAGCTGGGAAAACTAAATGCTATGAGGCACGAATCATCCAATTTAAGCAAAATCAGCTAATTCAATCCGTCCAGAGGCGATTCTACCAAAGTACAAAGGGCAATAGAAATTCTGAAAATGGAAAAGCAAACAAAAAGGAAACAATCCAGTTTTGGAAAGATCTATGGGAAACTCAAAAAGACTATAATAAAAATGCTGGATGGATAAAAGAATTTGAAGATGAATTTACTAAAAATCAAATGGAAGAACTAATAATAACAGCAGAAATGGTTAAAAATTGAGTGAAAAGGATTAAAAACTGGACATCTCCTGGAAATGATCAATTGA